AAAAAAAAAGAACATGAATGAATGTTTTCCTTATTTCTTGCACATTTTAATCTAGATACACAAAATTATAAGAGATCCTACACTGCTACAGTTTAACTATTCTTCTCTTCCAGAAGACTCCAATCAAGAGTCACCCAACTTTGAAAGTCCTCACTAACGTATAAACAAAGTAGAACTGCTCTGTGGAAAGCCAGGAAAAAACTTCAAAAAGCAGTTTCAAAAGGCACTCAAATATATCCTGTTTGTTTGTTTTGGGGTGTTTTGCCCTGCATAAGAGGATTCTGAAAGCTTTTTTGTTGTTGTTATTAGATATTGACTGTTTATAATATGTTTATATCAACGAATAGAACTTTCCCCTCATTTTCTATGTACTTAGTAAAAATGTTTCTGTTCTCTACTTGAAGAGGTAGTTAAATTTTACTAATTATACTATATTGGTTCAGATTCCAATTATCAGTTGGGAGGAGGAAGGGAACAGCACACCTGCAGTTATCTCACAATTTTTACTCTACGTCCCTTTCATTTGTAGCACTACTCACTAAACTAGGTGACAGCCTCAGGCTTTTTGCTTAGAGAGCAAGAAGTTGTTTCTTCTCCAGCCACATGGGAAATGTCAAATTGCTACCTGGCCCTCAAAGTCAGTTATTTACAACAGTTTCTCTTTTCCTCTATTATTTACATCAACTCAGACAAGACATGTCTCTTAAGAGAGACAGAGAACTACAAATCTATCTCCATTTTTTTTTTTGAAAAAGTAAAAAGGAAGCTGGTTGCATTTGGACATGCGGAGAAGGTCTTTGTACCTTAACATCCGCAAAAAAGGCTACTTTGGAGTATTACTGCCATTTTAATCCAGCAGTCCCCTGTTTTGCAGGGGACTCTGGACATGTGAAATCTTAATTTTCAGTCAGCTTTGTAAGTGGTTCTGATTTACCACCTGCCAAGCTTCTAGTTTTCATTAGATGGGCACAATGCTCTTTTCCCCCAAGGGAATCCTTCCCACCTGCTACAGCGCTCCAAAAGGTGTGACCATGAACGCAGAGATTTCACGAAGAGGGATGGAGGGCTTCCCCTACCCTTAACCAAGCTTCAGAGCATCTAACAAATTCTACACCACTTTGACTTTTTTTTTTAAGCAAGCACTTCTACTAAAACAAACAACTTCCTACTGCCCCAAGGTCTCTCAGCAGATTCAATTCCAGATGGACTTCCACTTTCCTAATCTCCTGCACTCACAGAGTATTTCTGTATTCTTCTCAAGTCACTGTGCCTGCTTCCACTTCTTTCATGTTTTTTTTCTGTGTGTGTTTGCACTGCGTTTGTGATTAAGCCATGGATCCTTCATGCAGGCATCCTGCCACTTCCACTTGCCTTTCCGCGCACCAGTTGGGCCATTCTGGAGCGTGCAGGAAGTGATCCTGCAAAACTAACTGGCCATCCTAGACCCTTCTTCTCTCCAGGACTGTATCCGATGAGATTTTTACGAACGGGTCCCTGAACCAGCCAAGGTCTGCTCTCCTGAAATCCAGGCTTGTAATCCTGCTTTTTGCTTTGATTTGAATATTCCTTCAGCCACTTTCCCTGCTGTTGGCCAACTGCAAGCTACTAGAGTAGCAGCAGTCCCACACTGTTGTTTCATAGTTATTTCCCTTCCATCACAAAAGCATCAGAGGCTTCAAGACCATTGCTGCCAACTCCCATACTCACTCTCCAGCAGAGAAGCACCACATTTGTGCTTCTCTTCAAATCATGCAGATTCACATTGGACCAACACCTATTGAATTCTTTAAGGAATGAAAAGAGTTTGTTTCTAGTGCTCCTGAGAGCGTAATTCTTCTCTTCGCACAGTATGTGAGCACCAGCCCATGGCTGCTGGCTTCTTATTCCCTCTCCGCCACCTGTCCTGTGCCTGCATAAGCTTCTGGCCTCTGTGTTTGTGATTAATCTTTTATTTGCTCATTATCAGAGTGCAATAAATGCATAGGGATGAAGCTTGCTGATGGACTTTGATGAGTCAGCTTCTTTCTTCAGATGTTTTAATAGTGGAGATTGAGTCAGCAAAGGGGCAGTCATTTCCGGGGTACACAGAGATGATGTAGTTCACGTGATCTACAGCAACATCAAGTCTTCAAGCGACCTAACTGAACACATTCGCAAACCCCCATCCTTAACAGGTACAAGTTAGCCCCTTATCACGACCCTAAGTCTCTTATACACAAGAGGTTTAACTGTGAAATGCATCTACCTAGCTCAGGAGATGCTGAAGTGCATCTACTCACTTGTCAGCAGGGAAACCATGAAGTAAATTTACAGCTTGTCATTTACTCCATAGAATTGAGACATTTGTCTATTTTCTTTTTATTTTATCCAGAGGTTAACTTACTATAGGGCAAACTTTCCTGTTTTCCGCAAATCAGGTGCACACATGCACACACACACGGGCAGTTGTTCAAGATCAGCTGACATCTTGTGCACCTCATACTAGCTTTGTTTTTGGAAACTGGCATGCCTCCCCATGCTCCAAGTTAACAAGGAATTCTGGAATGTTCATGATAACTGTGATGCTCCTACACCGCCAACTGATAGAAAAATATTTATGTTGTTAATCTTCACAGTGCACTAAGCAAATTTCACATTCAGATCAGTATTTACATACAGTAAAACGCTTTTCAGATGTGTATTAGGAAAAAAAAAGTACAAACTAAAAGCAGAGAGAGGCATAAAGAAAGACTGTCTTTATCTTAGTCCAAAGTTTAAAAATTAAACAGGGTGAGAAAAAAAAAAAAAAACTCAGGACTCTTCTTCCAATCTGGGGTGCAGAGAAGGCCTGGGACTAGAAAGAAAGGAACGGAATCCTTCCCTCCATGTTTCTAAGTTACATAGACCCGTATTCAAAAGTATTTGAGTGTGTAAAGATGGCCCATGAGTTTTTCAGAAAAAGCTTGCCTTTCTAATGGTGCTTTTTAAATGATGAATTTGGGGAGATTCATATCATGAGGTTTTATCTTAGAAACAAACGGCCTAAACAAACACTCGGAACAAGTGCTTCTTCCTCTCTATTCAGCAAGAGGAGAGGAGGGCTTCAGAGAGCAAAGCCCCCCTTCCTTCCTTCCTTCATGGCATCCAACCTCCTCAGCAAGTTCTGCAGCGGAGGCAGAGGGCAAAACTAGAAGCAGAGTTAGGGGACAAACACGTGCACTCCTGCCTGACAGCGTGCACAGTGCGCACTACAAGACTTTGTGCCTCAACTCTTACTTAGAACTCAGTAATTTGGAAATCCCAACTCTTAAAAGGTCAAGCCTTCTAAATGAAAATATTCTTGAGTGTCTAAAAAGCACCAAGCCCTTGATAAAACTGGCCTAGTGGGACAAACTTAATAAATATATAGAAAAAAAATAGAACTTGAGAAAGTTTCAAACTCAATTATGTGCTTAAAGTGGTAATTTTTCCCCTCTTTCCCCATAGCGCACCAGTAGCTTCCAGTTTTTAAAGGTTCCGTGAACATTTGTTGTCCTTCTCAGGTATTGACTATTAAAAAATTTCCAGGTGACAATAGGAATCAACAAACAAATTTGTCATCGATTTTATTACAAACACATTCTTCTGACAGCTCCTTGGATCTACAGCAACTAGCTAAAATTTGGCAAAAACATTACCTACTCGCTGTATTGATGGTCAGAAACAATTAAGGACTCCATCATATGTGTGTGTGTGCATACATATATAAAAATGTATATATAAAATAAGAAAAACAAAAAACACTCAGAGACGAAAGAGAGTGGGTGGAAAACAAACCTCAAAACAGGGACTTGAGGAGATCAGGAAACCAGGATGGCCAAGACATGTGGCTTGTAGAAGGAGTGAAGGATTTACTCACATAAGCATGAACCTCTCATGTAAAGCAGGCATGAGAACAGAATCAAGCCATTAACTTTAATTATTTACATCACTGGCTAGCAGTCCCAGCACACAGGCCATGTTTTGTTTTGTTTGTTTGTTTGTTTTGGAGCTGCATAAGTAAAATAATATTGTGCCTACAGGACTCCACATATCACATAAAACAGCCTCTGCAATTCTCACATTGCAAGGGTCAATATTTCAAATAAGCTATTGATTTTTTAGTACATTTACAGCCTGCAGCCATTTTACTGGATGAACAGATATAACATTCAAAGCAGGAAATAGACATCTGATAACCAAACCTTGCATTAGGAAACCCCAAAATGGATGGATAGCAGACAATTTCTTATCACTTAACTCTAAATTAGCAATAGGAACTTACAGAAAAGAATCAACTTACTTCTTATCTGCATCTAGATAATTTGAAGATGAAGAACAATCAGCAAGAAAAACAAAAGATAACTCTGTAACCTAATGTCACCTGGGCAGACATCAGATATCTGTTCAGTAACAGTAAATTAAATGGAGACAACCAACACACAAGCTGCCAGTTCATTACAAGTTGACAAAAGAATAGCTAGAGAAGCATGTGTTTTACCTCTCTATTCTAGAGAGAACTTAAAACAGCTGTTAGCAGGTCTCACCAATAAGACAAGGGAAAAGTAAAACTGTAAATTCTGTAGCATCTTGGCAAGATGACAATACAAGGGTGCAAAAAGGCCATGGGAGTCTGACTGAACTGAATTTGACAATTCACAACTCTGAAACACAGTTGTAGTTCTGCCAACAAGGGCATTGGCTTAGACACAGCTCACATTTCCAAGGTTATGTCTACAACTGCTAAGAATTATGTGCATTTTAAAAGCACGTATCAAAAGTGATTTCTACAACAAGTTTAGCACCAAAAGAGAACTGATGACAGCATTACCAAGGTATGGAGTACAACTGGTTCACTTTCCTACTATTACTCAGGCTTGTGGGCAGAAGTGAACTGCCAAGAAACACACAAAACAAACTTTGGTTAGAATCTTATAAAAACTATTTCATGTTGCTGTTTATTATTCCTTAGAAAGTGTATGTCAAAGATGACAGGAAGATGGAGATAGGGAAAAAGAGGAGTGCTGCTTTTTGCAGGCAGAAATTTGAGCAGCAGGTACACTACAAGAAGACAGGGCCTTTTCCTAGCTCTGCCCCTCACTTTTTCCAAGAGATCTAAGACAGACAGTTCTTCCAGCTGCGTTTCTGCAAGTAGAAATGATGTCTTAAACACAATTTTTTTTTGAATATATGTTAGTAAGCCAACAGAGTTTGCATATTAGAAATATGTTTGTATATTCAGAAAAAGCAGCTAGGAGATTAATCTTTAAAAAAAAATCACTCTTGTAAAATCTGTAAAAGAATTTAGCATAACCTATTAGCTAGTAGAAAACCTGTGCAATGCCCTGTTTTCACTGCCTCTAGTCAAACTAACAGCATCTTCCTCTTACTAATGTATCGTAAGTGTGCTGAAATCACATTTTTTTCTTTTAATTCGAAACAGGCCATAGAGCTCGAAATTACAGGCTTCAGTTGTCAGGAAGAAAATATAACATAGATGTTTTCCTTCCTACAACCAACTATAAATCTAAATAACTTATTTTATATGGCTAATACCATGCTAAATGCCAGAAATTTTGGAGCAGAATTGTAGAGGAGGAATGATAACTTATCGACAAAGTATAAGCAAATACAAGCAAATTTGTGTTCTGTTTACTCCAGGTATGCCTGGAATAAAAAGAAGATTGCCTACTTTATAATAATTCCTGTTTTTCTATTTGCTACTCCTCGCCTCCCAAATTAAATACACCAGTCACAATTAATTTCTACAGACACATAATTTAACCCGATTCAAACCTCAGACCTTTTTCAAGCTGTCACACCAGAACACTGACACATCCATTAGTAAGGGCCTACTAGGAAAGCCCTAGGGCTGCAGAAGAAATTTCCCCCACTTTAAGTAAAAGTAAACTCCTTATCAAAAGTAAACTCCTTATCAACTCCTACACAACTTACCTAGGAAGCACCAACAGAAGTTTTGATTTAGAGGTGAAGAGGATGAGCAGAGGAGATTTTTTTTTGTATATTTGAACACCTAAAAATCCTTTCTGCTACGACATAAACCCTTCAAATAGAGAGTGTCTCTTTCCAATTGGTGAATTTTGCATAATGAAGGCAAGATTTTAATGTCCATCACTACTGAGGGAGTTACTTGTTAATAAAAGCTAAAGAAATATGAAAAAAACTCTAATATTTGTGAATTAACAAGTGAATAAACAAACCAAAGTTTTTCAGAATACTTAAGTGCCCCATTCCTGCAACCAGACATCCCTCCATAGGGCAAAGCAAAACACATGTGGGAGAAGAGACAATTATAGTTACAACCACCTCATGAGGATTTTAAAAAGCAGAAGTAGGAAAAATAAGCTGTATTTCCACCTACATCACCAAACTGTCCATCATGAGGTTAGAAAAGGCACTCACAGTCCTGAATGCACAGTTATCAATTGCATTCAGTATTTGTGGGAAGGCAGTCAGTGCAGCCAAAGTGTCCCAGACTGATATCAACCGTGTATTTATAATCTTTGTTTTCTAAAAGTGTCCACTTGCCAATGAATCCAAATTATACTAACACCTATTTTCTTCCATCGTGATTCCCACTCTTTGTGAAACTTGTAATCTTGGTACTTATTTTAGGCATATTTCCGTATTACTTTGTTAAAGCAAACAAACAATACCAAATTCTAGGCACACTGATCCAACAACTAGTTCAAGACAGCTGAGCATGAATCAACACTTATGACCACGCTAGTTTTCAGATTTCTAGTTGCTATCAATACACTGTACAGAATATAAGTGTATCACCACACTGTCTCATTAGCCAGCTTTTTAATTTAACAAAAGATACAGGAAATTTGAATTAATCTGCAGTTGCATACTGATTTTCCTCCCTAAATTCTTAACCAAATACTATGGTGACTCCCTCTTCTTTTGCAGGAATAACTTCCAGGAGTGAAAGCAATCCAAGAATGTTATTTCTTTCCACTGAAAATAACCTGAACCCTTTTATTGAGCTACATGGATCAGAAATCAGCATCTCATTTGGCTTCAAGACACATTATATTTTTTTTTTTTTTTTTTTTTAAAGAAGTGCAAATATGAGAGCAACAGTAACAAGACATTTACCTAGTCTTGATGCACAATATCAGCTGTTTTTCATTAAAAAACCATAAATGACATGCAATTTATATGTAAATAATAATTCTATAGAAAATGAAAGTTTTTTACTTACAGTAAATATACGCCTGCCAGTCCGATCAAAGGTTACACAATATACAGAAGATAAATGTCCTAAAATTCGTTTGTGCATCTTCATATGCTGATAGACTGCAGTTGGAACAAGGCGTTCAAGTCTGTACTTCCCATTTAGTTTCCTTGAAAACAGGGTATCCACTAGCAAATGCAGAGAGGAACAAAAAGGTGGGGGAAAAAAAAAGCATTTATATTGGGTTCACAAGCTAAAAATGCTTGTCTAGTTTAGAAGCTCAGCTTTACTACCTTTAGATTGCTACTGAAGCAATGAATATAGTGTTTGCAGGCATACACAGACATTTGTCAAACAGTTCCCCATATTATCCTTAAGCTGAAGAACAAGGGCAACAGCAATACATTTTGTATTCCATGGAATTGTGCTAAAACACAAAATGTATTCAGACCACCAATTTTGGATATGTGAAAATTAAATCTGAATGCACATGTATGCCCAAAGTCCACAGCACTACATGTGAAAAACACCATCTGCCAGTGTCAAGACAGGCGATACTGTCCTTACTACCCTGGCTAGACATTCATTCTTTGTGTTGGACCACAGCTGTATTTACACAATCAACGACAAGACCAATTCAGCTGGCAGCATTGACCACAAAGCAGCCCAAAGTCTTGGGCACTGCGGGGCTTTGATGCAGGCCAGCTAACACACTCTCAGCCAGGGCTTGGCAAGTCTGCACAAATCAAAGATCCTGCAGTAGAGGCAAACCAGATTATGGCTACATCATGACCTGAGTTTACACAATAATCTTGACCTACTCAAAAGTTACACTTTGTTTACTCTGAAATGCAGGCGATTGCTTAGAAATAAATTTCTAGCAATGCCCTCATATGAACCAACGGCTCACACAAAGGTAAAAAAACAACTTTTTTTTTTTCCAGGGAATGTTCCCATCTGTCAATTAATTTAATAGTAAGCATTTATGAGGAAGAAAATCATTAGCCAAGATCATGGTATTTGGAAAAAAATCACAAATTTCCCACAGCTTTGAATGGTCTGTCCATTAAGAGATTATTTTTAAGAAGACTCCTTGAACTGGTTTGTTGAACCAAGTTTTCACACCCATCATTCTTCTTAGATATGACCTTTCATTTAACTGTATGTATGTTTACATACTTAACCCATATGCACTTTACCAAGTAATGTAGTTTGATTTATTTCACCGACCAATTCCATTTTTTATTCCTAGCATTTACCACGTCAATATGTTATTTGCACGTTTTGTTAGCGCAATGGTTTTTTTTCCTCCAAGTTCAGGCAGAAATCACAAACAACTGTGTCTTCTAAATAGGTTCTGAAGCAAAACAATAATTAAAAAAAAAACAAACTTCTGATGCCAGCTAACTCAGAAATACTACTACAAATAATAATACTAACTTTTGTACTAATTACAGGCCTTTGGTTTTATAATAATTATTTCCCATAAATCACCTCCTGTCTTGTGAGGCCTTGTCTGATCTTCCTCTTATTTCAGTTTCATTTTATCTATTTACAAAAAACTAATTTCAGAAACACCTCTAACAGCAAGCCTGGTATATACCTTGTTGTAGCAGTTTTCTGTCTTTCCTTGGCCTAAAGCGGTAAACGCGGTTGGCCTTTGCCAGTAAAGATGTAAATCCAGCCACAGAAAAAGCAATAAAAGTATAAGCAGTTCAACAGCTGCAATGCGAGACATTAACCGTGGACGTAAGTGCGAAAACAAGGACGTGAGGAGTATCCAGGAAAAGCTGTAGCGTGCTGCTTGGCCCCAAGAATGAACCATCCAGCACAAAGGGATGTAAGGGCTGGAAGCAAGAACGAACACAGCTACAAAACAGACTCCTTGTTCCCCCTGGAAAGACACTGCAAAGAGGATAGCCTGCTCAGACGTCGCTCCCATGCAACACATCTCAAGCTTGGCCAATTAATTAAGGAAGGTAAAATTAACTTAGCTTTGAAAGATAGCCTGTTAATCACACATGTATAAGATCATGCTTAAAAAGGAAAAGCAAAATAAAAATCAAGAGATGTTACAAGTGGTTGCTCTGCAACACAGCATGACCACCCACCACTTAGTCCCACGTGACATTTTGATGTGACATTTAATAGTGAAGCTGGCTGATCAGCCTTTCTTATTTTAGTTTTCGCATTCAAAGTCATGTGCCTTATTTATACGGTGCTACAACAGATCGCGGAACACGCATTTAAAGGCGGGGGAGATAAAACAGCCTTGGTCTGTAATAAGCCCAATTCAGTTCAGCTTTTTTACCAAGTACAAGTTAAATAAAGTCAAGACTGCCAGACTCCTTTCACTCTTCAAGCTGGCAACACTAAATTCATCAGGCAGTTTATTTCTTTCCCTTCTTTCAACATAACCAAAATCAAAAAGAGCAATTTGAACTGACCGCTACCCTCCCTACTGTATTTTTGTCCAACTTCTAAAAACTACACAGCACTTTTATAGCTTATAGGGAGGTGACTGTCACCTACCCAAACAGCTCAAGCTGACAACTTGATCAAGCTGCCCCGTGTCTCAGAGCATTTCATGAAGGTAAAAAACACAGGGACTCCTTACTGCAGTGTCCATGTGGACATAAAAATCCTATATGCAGCTCAAAAATTGACATACATAATTTATTCGTTAAATGAAAGTAACAATCTCAATTTAGAGATGCAAAATATTTCTAATACTCAGAACATTAAAAATATATATTTTTTGCCTTGTATTTTGCTAAGATTAAAAGACTAATGGTTACACAAAGTCCCAAAAGTATGAATATTAACTTTTAGGCCTGAACGATTAATCAGTAATTTTCTAAAAACAGACATCCACACCTTTCAGGAAACGGAAATTTAAATGGAAATGACATGCCATTTAAAGGTAAAACAGCATCCAATAAAGAAACTGTGAGAAGCACGGACACAATACCGGAGAACTTTTCTCCAGAAGGACTATGCAACAAGCCATGAAATAGTGCTTTTCAGATGCAGATATATTCGTTGATCAAGAAGAACATTTTTTCATTATCAGGGAAGAGCAACCAATCTCATTCTGGTTTTCTCACCTGAATGACCAGCTTCCCCAAGAAGTATCTAACTTTAAGCTTTAGTTCTCTGCTTTTTCAGCAGTTCATAAGAACTAATGGAATGAATTCCTTTTCTGGGTCTGCATTCAAGAAGGGATCGTTAACAAAAGAAAGTAGCATACAGGAAAAGGCTCTTGATTCTTATCTTCTGTTCTTAATAACTTCTTTATCTTTTGGCCTGGCATGATTTGGGTCCAATGTGATTTTTCTTTACAACTCCCTTTTCTCTTGACTGTGATTTTTCTTTACAACTCCCTTTTCGCTACATGATGTCTTCTAAAAGTCCATAACTGGTTATGTTAATTGTTCATAACACTGTTTCTACAGAAATTGAAATCAACTGACTTAGCGTGTAATTTTAGTCCTTCTTTACTATCTCTACAACAACTTTTTACAAGGCAGGTATATATTGCACTGGCAATATCAAATAGACAAAGACTATTCACTTTTTTTTTTTTTTTAATTATGCTCTATATATAGCTCCGCAGTTTCCTAGATAAGTATGTGTTTGTATAAATGTATTTTAACTGCGTATAAAACAGCTACCTACAAGGCAGCTGGCAGAACATGCACGATTTTAATTCTGAAGAATCTGTCATTGGCATCATAATTACAACAGTTCAGCAAGCCAGGAAACCTCTGAACGTAGCTGTATGTTTAGTAAAATGCAAATGCAGGGGGGAAAAGTCTGCACAGGTTCAAAGGACTTCAAGGTCTTTTCTGTTCCTCAACTGTTAGCACTCTCTCCACTAAAATATATACAGCCTGAAGAATAAAAGCTTCTGAAATTTTTGTTAGACAAAAACCATAGCCTTTTCAGGAGAAACGTGAAAGTTTAGGGAAACAATGAAATTATCAAGCTCAGTTTATAAAAGAAGAGTGATTCTGGTTCATGATTTCACTGAAAGAAGAACAGGATAAATCAGAGGTAAGTGCTTCCACACACATATCTGAACCAGACACCCAAAAACCTAAATAACTCCTCACTAGAAAATATTTAACTACCAGCATTTATCTCAATGCTGAGAAAAGGATGCAGTGCAAATAGTCAGTGCTCCACAAAAAAATTCAATTAAAAACAAAACTTCTATGTCTTTAGAAAGCCTTATTCTTTCCTAAAAAGCAGCTGAAAGTCAGAGACTGAACCCAGGAGAGCGTCTATTAAGGCAAAACTACAACACTCTTTGAAACTCAGCTGCTGTGGATTTCATACTTTTTTTTTCTCCTCCTTGAACACTACATATCACCAAGCAAGCTACAGTACAATGACAGACAGTCCTCTTAGATCTTGACTTCACCATATTTAAAAATATATTCTCAGGTATAGAAGAAGCTAAGACAATAGCTACTCAAAAAACAATAACTTTCTAAGGCTCCAGTCACCTTGCAGAAAAGATTGCTGATCTAGTCTAAGTCTACAAGCCTATTTCCCAAGCCTGTGCTCTTCCAGTCAAGACACAACTACTCAAGAAGGGAATTACTCCGCAGTTAAGTGTATTTCTCCCCATCTCTAGAACATGACAGAGAAATGACTTTTTAAAGAAATGTCAGAATAAAAGCTCTAAATAAAAACACATTAATCACCTTTGACCAACACTCATTCCATACACGCAAGTTCTGAAAACTCACCTCTGAGCACCCCACAACACCATGTTTCTCTTCCTATATCACGTACATCTACAGAAAAATCATCACAGAAAGCATGCAAGCTTGTCCTTTAAACTAGTGAAAGGCCTGCAAGAACATCAAACACTCTGCCATTCTACTAGGTCAAAGTTGGCAGTACCAGTTACATTCAAAGATTCTTCTCTACAAAATGCTTCTGCTGCAGGTGTTGCGAACACTGTAATTACCTGGCTGTAAGACAACGATATCAATTTTAAAACTTGATGTTCAGTGTTTTTTTTTCTCGTCTCTAGTTCTAAGAATAATCTAAATAACAATAAATCCAAAAAGAGTTGAATTTATGGAAACTTTACAGGCTACCTATAGCCTCCAAAAGGAGTTGAGACATTAAACATAGTAACTGACAAAGTTCTTAATACCTCTGCCTGAAAAACATATAGCTACAGATTTGCATCATGTTGCTCAGCAGTTCAATCACGATAGATTGCAGCCTCTCTTTTTTTCTAAGACAAAACTTTTTGCAGTCTTTTATCAAAGACATAATCAAAGTCTTTCAGCAATATATCATTTATCACAGAGATGCAAGAAATTAAAGCAAGGGTCAGGGATTTTGTGCTTTCATAAACAATTTATTTAGTTCCAAGGAAGTCAAAAAACCTGCCGTAGCAGCAATACGTAGTCCATAAAGTATCACAACTTCACTCGTCTTCAGAAATTTCACAGATACTGAAGCCTCCAGTGAATTACAGAAGGAGCTCCTGTGCCATATAAGGAATGCTCTATGACACTCTAAGTCATTACTTTGGGTGATAAAAATATTTCACTGTTAAACTGATCATGAAATTTAGAGGAACTTTCTATGGATGTTCTTCCCCTCATATTGTGGATGTTAAGTGGTGTACAGTGACTAAGTAAGTGCTTCAATGACTTTTGGGGAAAGAGGCTCAAGCTACCCTATTTCATACCTTTTGTTTTGTTTGCAGGGAAAAACAAAACAAAAATAAACAAACAAAAAACCCAAATACTAGAGGTTTTAAGAAAAAACAAAAGTGCTTTTTTGCATATTTATACGTGCAATACATTTGTAAAAGTTGGTTCATTTCTGCTTAATATTAGGGAAATCCTAGCTTTAATACATAACGTATTTTGAGAGATTTTACTGCTAAACAATTTTAAAAGAAATTAAGATTATAGCTGAAGACAACAGAGATGCTGAGTAAAACTTCATTCACTGTCACTATGTCTTCATTCCCAGACAACCGATCAAGTAAGAATGATGACCCTCTGAGGGCTGGCATTAACTGGGTTTGGTTGAACTTTGTAAGGGAGTAGGCAAGACCAGGGAGTAATTTAAGGGTAAGCAACCTGTTAATCACTGTTAAAGTTGCAAATGTTTCTTTGCCGACTTGTGGAGAAGCTCTGAAGGAGCAGACTGAGCGCCACGGATGGTGACAGCCAGTAGCAGGTGCCAAGGGAGCGTGAATAAACCAATAAAAAGATGGGTCTGTCTGCACATGCTGGCCAGGGCCACTCAGGGAAAACTCGCAACAGACTCCAGAGAGAGGAGAGAGAAACCTCAGCAGCACCAAAGAGAAGACAGAAGGATATCCAGAGCCCTGCCCCAGGACCTGACAGGGCACGGCAGGAAACGCACTGGGCAAGGCAACGCTGACTTGCCTGGCCTCTCTCCTGCACTGTACCACTCCCCCTCTTGCGGGGCAGCAAAGTCAAGTAATTCCTAACACTGTGCATAGGTATCTGACAGGGGCTTCTGTTTTGCTGTCCAAATCCATTTAGTCTCCACTTAACGCTTCTCCCACCATGGACATGGGAAAAGATTTTGGCTATCTGCACGGCCAGAACACTCAAGCTTCATGACACAGCACAGGAAACCACAGCACAGCTACGGAATTAGTGGACTGACAGACCAAAGAAGTAAAATAATCACTTCCAAAAGACATTCAAAATTTTCAGCAAAAACCATTAGGAATCTACATGACTAACTCTTCCCAACAATGGGGAAAAACCACGCTGTCCTGATTTTCAAGTTTTCTGCTGTATTAACTATTTTTGTTGTTGTTGAAAGTATTAAATCTTTAAGAAAAAAAATATATTCTCACTGGTGGATATATTTTATTCAATTTCATACTCCGATGTTAACAATAATAATAATAACTAGCATCCAAGTAGAAACGGTACATAAATTTACATCTTTTTTCCATATATAAATTGGTAAATATGACAACCACAACATCCTAATAAAAGTAACACTGAATACAAGGTACAACACAAGTAAGGGCAGATACCAATTCCATTTTGATTTAGCTCTAATTCATCACAGTAATTAACTACCCTGGGAGTTAAGCATTGCAGGGGCAAGGCCATCATAAATCTGACTTACCTATACTAGGTGGACTGCCATAATTGACAGGTGACTCCGGAGGCCTTCCACAATGTAACGCAGCAAGAGCCGATCCTTTCCACACAACATGTTTGCAACCTGTTTTAGAAGAGTTGCACAAAAAAACATAAGCCATTTTATTGCACAAGAAAAACGCAGAAAAGGCATCAACAAAAATCAAAGACTCTCAAAAATCTCATCAAATTTTCATACTTTTGTTTGTACGAAGCAAAGACTGTCTGCCAGCTCCTAATAATGTCTGCACTCCAGGGACACTTTGGGGAATTTCTTGCTCTAGAAGTGGTCCTAGTCGATGGCATATTTGAAGCAGGTGATCAGGTGCCAAGTGTCTATAGTATTTCACCTATTATATTAAAAAGCAGACAAAGCATTTTATAATGAAAAACAAACATTTTGGAAGAATTAGTTAGATCTTTTTCCAGTTTGCTAAACAAATTCTTAACAAAAAAAGAGAGAGAGAGTATATAAGGCATAAAAAACAGATAATGGCCTTAAGTACAGTAACTCTTTCCAGCTGGTCCTAATTAACCATTCACAGTATGCTGCTTGTACAGAGAGCTGCTGGCATTTGCCATATTGTGCATTTAAAACAGAGCTAGTCAAAAATATTACTCTCCTGCTTTAAAACTGGAGAAAAAAAAAGTAAAAAATATATTCAATCTTTTTTTAGTTAATTTAAATTATTATGAGACAAAGAATATAGGAATAGCAACATTTACAGATTTTTTTTTTGAAAGATTCACACGTACCACACAGGTAACACGTTTTTGGAGAAGATAGAATCGCTCTTCACACACAAAAACATTCTTCCTCGACTCACCTAAGTTATGAGGCCTGACTAAGTTTCCACAATTGAAATCTTTACAATCGGTATATGTTCCTCCAACACTGGAGACATGAATTTGTATCAATAAGGGAAACATCCTCCGACAGATTTTGTACACTACTCAGTTGTCAGCTGTACAGGACTAAAATAAGCTCCTATCATCATAACAGAACTTCTCATTATCACTTGATTATAACGTGGTCTAACCAGGACTATTGACTGCCCATACAAAGCTGAGTTGCACGAGTTCTTTCCAACTATCAAAATTACAGATTAGAATTATCACCATTTGGAACCAAACAGCTTTAAAACGTATGCATGTGACCACAGTAAAATCCTTCAATTAAGAAACAGCATTTTAAATATGCAAATTGCTACTACTAGCTTATAGTATAAGAAATATTTAAAGGAGTAAAATTATTAGGGATGTTAGAAACTCAGTTTCCTACAGTTCTGGTGCAGGATTTGGCATGTAGCAGTTTAATTCTTTTTTTGGTCAGAAATTTGTCTGAACAGTTTCACTTTGCAGTAAGTATTTCAGTAAAAGCTTGTAATGTCTTATTATTCTGCAACTGCTGAAAGCCATGATGAACATTTTAAAACGACTGATGTTTCTGTACTACACACAATTCACAGAAACATACCTTAGTCTTCACCAAAGGTGCTTCTGTCTTGCTGACACAAAGCAATCGCTTCATGTATTCTAGCAAGTTGATAGCATAAGTGCTGATGTCTGAAACTGAGACTTTGAAAAATCCTTGCTTACACTCGAGGGAGTTTTTCCTCCTACCATGTCAGACTTCTACAAAAGAAGGTTTTTTTTCTGCTACTATTCTTGCATTACATTACCTTCACAGGCAGCCTTGGAAGTTTGCTGAACCTCCATAGTAACCAAATGACTTCACGTAAAAATTCACGTAACGTAAACAAAGAAAAAGGCTCTTTTAAAAAAAATAAAATAAATTATTATTTTAGTAATGGTTAAAATGTACTACTAATTCTGCAGATGCGTTTGATATTATCAAACTTACTTGATTAGAAGAGTGGCAAAAAAATTAACCATTGAGCTTGGAACTTGCCAGCCCAATTTGTTTTTCTTGCGCGCAACACCCAAACGAAACAGACGCCTTGCTCTCTATTCAGAGGGTCAGAAGGAGGAAGAACCGCAGTCAAAAAGCAGGGCTGAGCGCTCCCCACACGGAGAGCAGAGGAGATGTAAGAGCAAGGAAGCCATGCAGTTTCTGTCACGATCAACCCTTAACCATTTCCATAGCTTTTATTCTCCTTCAGTCCTATCCAAAGTATCCAACACTTGGTAAGCCCTGCTCTTGGTAAAGTTTCATCTGAAACTCTTTACATGGAACCAAACTTCTCTAAAAGATTAATAATTAGCGATGCTCTGGTTTAGCCAGATATATTAAAACAACTTATGTAATATAGTTAAGTGCAATTTTATCCTGCTCAACACCCTTCAATTTTATACATATCCACAAAGCACAAAATCTAAAGAAAATAAAGCAAATCAGCTTTGACACATTCCAAATCTACAATTAGCTGACATCTTGAGTCATGCATCTCATGATTTGTCATAAGCCATATGGGTTCACTTTTTCTGTTCTTCTTCGACGTTTTTGTTTTTTGATCTTTTTAATAGAAGCAGCATGAACAAGGCAGGCTCAATGCCAAAAGCAACTTTTAAAGCAAGTGTTTTAAAGCAAGTTTAAAGAGTCAGATCTGTTTTGCTCTTGATCATACTATTAAGGACCTTATCTTAGAATACACCTTACAAACAAAAAACAAACTGTAATGTGGGTTAAGCCACTTTATGCAAAAACTGTCTAAATTAAACAGTAGTTCTGTGATGCTTCGGAATAGAAAATTTCATAATCATCGCCATTTGCTCCCTTCCAACTCAGCAAGCTGTACTCTAAGATGTGTGTGTGTGTGTGTATATATACACACACATATATATATAAAATACACACACAACTCCCCTTTGAGTGACATTCACCATGTACAGACTTGTTAGATCCACAAAGTTCATACAACTTCAGGTGAGATACACAGATACCAATATTAGCCTCTCTTTTACCTAAATTATGACTAATACACACAAAAACTTTTTAAAAGGGGAGAAAAAAAAAGTGTGCCACTTTTAATTGTAAAATCTGATAGACAAAAATCTCTTATTACAGGTTTATTTGGACTTGCTTTTCTTCTTCCATAAGGAAGGTACTTAATAACATATTTTAAAGAAATTTAGATTTTTCTTTTTAAGAACTTCTAAAATACTTCTTTTCTCAAGAAACAAAATTATTTTAACAATACTATTTTGTCTGTGTGACCTAGTACTGTTAGCATTAATGTAGAAGTCACAAATGAAAAATAAAGTATGCAATTTCACGTCAGTCTTGGCATCCTTCCCTTTTGAAAAAGGATATATAAATATATATATAAATAATAGAATCAGAATAGGCTAGCAACAAGCTAAGAAAGGATGAGGTAAGAAAGTTTTTAAAACAAACAAAAAGCTAATGAAAGGCTAAAATTATTGAGATTTAAAGGAAAAGCATAATAGATCAAAAGAAATGAAGTGTGCAAGTTGATGTTAATTGTTTTAGGGATTAATGAAAAATAAACTTGAGATACTCACATTCCAGAAAGAAAAAAAAACAGAGACCTAAGGCAAACTGCAAAAAAAGCTTTTATATATATATACATACACGAGCATATATGTATACATATACATATATACACATGTGTATGTATTTATACACACACACACTCACATACTAATCTCTCCACATCTCCTATAAACAGTCAAAAGCACCTTTCAAGTCAAGTGACAAGGGAGAAATTCCAATTATTTTATTAAAAGGAGACATTACGAGCTTTGCCAGATGCAGAAAAGCCCATGACAAGTCGAGCAGGATGATGGAAGTATATCTTGTTATCAAACACTGATCCCAAGAGGAGAAAGTGAAAGTGGAAGAAAAACTACAGATGTGCAAGTCTTGAAAATTCCTATAGCTCTAAATAAGACGTGAAAACTGAACGCTTCCAAACTCTTATGCCAAATCTGTAACATCAAATCACCACTTTCCTTCTCCCATAAATCCCCTAGATGAAATACTAGACTGTTTCTTTCTCCCACTAGGCTTTCTGTAACACCCAGCTCTGTTCCAGTCTCCCAAGAGAACTGCAGAGATGTTATTTCAGGAGTATCACACCAAACTCACTTGTCATTAGTTTAAAAAACCAATCCCCTATAGAAAAGGTTACTATATTTAATTATTACTGTAAATCAAGTTAAGAGTCCAAACGAGCAGGAACAGCAACACTGTTAGGAAGCACAAAGTTTTCACAGGCTAAGCACGATTATTTTCTAGGAAAGTAAGAAGAGGCATTACTCTCAACTTCACCTATCCAGGATGAATAGCATGTAAATACACAAAATACAGCTGGAAGAGTTATCTGGACTAACATTCAAATCTCTATTACTTTGGGAATAGACCTAGATACTTGTACTTTCATTCTTCATCACTCTGCAAAATAATTTAACATCAGAATCACAATGAATGAATCAACGGGATCATTTGACACAGACTCTCTTTAAGTCTGTAATACAAATTTCAGTTACACACTGCACTAAGCAATACACATACTGAAATATTCTCCAAAATAGTGAATTTTTTCATACTAACGGTTAGCACTTTTAACAACAACTTCAGTCCTAAATAGCTTTCAGAAAATATATATATACACACACTTAAGAAGATTAAAAAAGTCAGCCACCTTTACTTCAACATATGAGAGTTCAGTTTTATTAATACCAGCATCTATCCATGCTGCAACTATTCCACTGTATAAAACATATTACGCAAAACTAACTCCAAATTAAATTACAACAAGCGTTGTACTATATCAGACCATCAATCTAATTGAGTATCCTGTACAACTAGTGACTTTCTGATGGCTTTAAAATTAGGAACTGCAATAACGTACAATTACTTTTCTCTGAAGCATTCCCCTTCTCTTAAGGGGAGAGGGAGGCAGCAGAAGAGAGGGGAGAACTAACTGTTTTCCCAGAAGCATTCTTATTTCTGAATTATTTTCTAATTATGCATGAGCTAAAATGATATGGAAATTTATCCGCTACATACTACAGAAATGCACACTAATGTAAGACTACTTTTCCTCTAATGAAACAGACGCATATGAAATGAGCTGTCTCAAGAACGTACAACCCACTTTTCAACTATTCAGTGTTTTTAAGGGAAGAGGGAGTGGATAATAAAAAGAATCTTAACATAAGCAGACTCATTCAAGCTTGGTGCTCAATGTTGTGAATGGTTTGAACATTTTCAGCCTTGTGGACTTACCTATGTATATTTGCACCTATTTGCCTGTCTTAAAAACAAACAAACAAAAAACAACAGACTGTTTGTAATGAGTTTTAAACAGATATGCTTTAGAAACTGAATACTGCTCTTTAGCCTTTATTGGCATTTC